GATCCCAGAACCGCCTCACGGCACCTGCAGCTCTACTCAATTTACTGAACAAATTAAGCCTGAATCATAGAACAATCTATGCCATAGGCTTTTACCGTGCTGCCTCGCTCCTCCTGTTCTACATATTTTATGAATTTTAATCAGCTTTTTATAGCATTTTGTATTTGTAATTTACATTAGTTTGTATTATATTATAAATTATTTGTATTCATTTATGTTATTTAATATAATTTATGCTGTGCTAATCCCCGCGTTATTACAATAGAAGATAAATTATTCATCAATGAGTTAATGTTGTGTTAATTTAGGGGCGACGACAATGAGTTAATGACACTAATGACAGTCCTTGTCATAATTGGTTAGGGAAGGTGGATGGGGGGGGGGGTGTTGGTTAGGTCAGCGCCATCTGAGAGTTGGTGGAGTTACTTTCCTCTAATAAATCATTGCCAGTCACCCACAGGTCAGTTCAAAACAGTTGAGCCGAATTGGATCTTGAGTAGTTAATTGTTGTTGTGGGGGAGTTGAGGGGTAGTTGTGTGTTGGGATACGAGGCAGAGGATCGGTGTGTACACGGCAGGAAGTGCAGTGATACCTCGGTCAGTGTAATAGGTTTTGTTGGTAAAGGCCGCTAAGATGTATGTGAGGAGAGAGAACCGGACGGAGTACCCGCAAGTGAGGTTCAGTCGAGTTTTGGAGGATCAGGAACCCAGCCTTGAGGTCGACTTCGGAGCTCAGGCTACCGAGAGCTCCACAAGGTAGATAAGACTTGTGTTCTGAACTGTATTTCTATCCAATACGTTATCTGGTTGATACCTGGTTGATGGGATTCTGGGAGTTCTTCTACTCCCCAAGCCCGGCCCGAGGCCAGGCTTGACTTGTGAGAGTTTGGTCCACCAGGCTGTTGCTTGGAGCGGCCCGCAGGCCCACATACCCACCACAGCCCGGCTGGTCTGACACTCCTTGAAGGAAACAATCTAGTTTCCTCTTGAAGATGTCCACGGTTGTTCCTGTAATATTTCTGATGCTCGCTGGTAGGACGTTGAACAACCGTGAACCTCTGATGTTCATACAGTGTTCTCTGATTGTGCCCATGGCACCTCTGCTCTTCACTGGTTCTATTCCACTGCTGAGATAGTTTAATGCTGAAAAGAGTCGATATAGTAATTTGGTAGTTTTATATATATTTCAACAAATTTTGACTCGGTACATTTCCAATATGTTTATATTTCAGTAATTTGTAAAGATTGTGAATAATTTGTATAACCTGTAATTTCAAATTCCGTAGCCTAGTCTCTTAAGGTTAAAAACTGTCTCCCCATCTTCATATCTAATTCCTCCGTGACTCTTTTGATGCCAACTTTTCATAAAGATGCAATAAACTAATTAAAGGTTCAAGAGTTGGAAAATAAAATTAATCTTGACATTTCTTTTTGATCTTATTTAAACTTTTTACAAGAGGCTGTAGTTAGCAAGGCGCGCTCCACAGACCAGTGTGCTGCTGTTGGCGTCCACGCCAGCATGTATTAGGCTTGTCCCATTTAGAATCGACCCGAAGGAAAAGTACATTCTGTACCGAATTATTATTTTTAACTATATTTTATAATAGTCTTGGTTGAGGTGAGTGTGGCCCGTCCTCAAACTAGGCTCCTAGTTTTGGGGGAAATTTGTACGCCTCATTTTGACAATTATTGGACGGGGCTGTGCAGTGGATGGGACGGGATGGACAGGATATATATATTCCTGGATTCGTAGTGGTCTAGTGGGTAAATAATTGATATCTGGGTTGCTAGTAGTATTACTTACTCTGCAAAGCCTGAGGTAGCGAGAACGTGACATTGCATTTAACAATTCTGGAGTTGAATTTATTTAAGTTTGGTGTGTGAGGGGAAAGTGGTATGATAACGGGCTGTTCTAATCTTGGTGTTTCAGATGGTTGAGCTATGGTTATTGGGTCCCGTCTTTAATCCTTCCATGGACCGATGTCCAGGTTCTTGACTTGGTATGCCCATATATATTGTATATTGTGTGTATATCACGAAAATAAACACGTGATTAAAAAATGTGAGTGTCAGACCACGGAGGAAAATTGAAACAGGAATTTCCTTAAGTACTTTCGTATATTAATACATCTTCAGAAGGAAGATTGTATATTATATGTCTAACCATATCTAAACCTAGTATATGCCTGTGGTGGTGGTTGGGGGGGGAGGGGGAGGTTTTTTTTTTAAAGGTCGGTAGGAAAATTTTTTTAAGTTAGTGGGAGTGGTTCTGGTCGAGGTTGGTGGCTGGGCTGCCGAAGGTCACCACGAGCCAGAAATCAGCAAGCAGGTACTTGCGAACCTGTACATCTTATCTGTTGTTGGCGCGGCTATGTTTACGTGTATTAAACTGTTGGTTGAGCTCTGAAGCACTTAAGAACTGTTTATGACAATTCAAAACGCATCTGGCTGGGAAGTTGCGATGCTGGTCAACTGTCTAATGTAGACAAAGCTGGTAAAAGAAGAGGAAAAGATGTGTACAAGTTGGTCAGTAGTTATGCAAGTACGTGAATGGCCCCGGGCCCACCAGTTCTCCTTGACCAGTGATGTGGTGTTCAGTGAACGCACCCGTACACTGCTTGCTTCACACGCTTGTAAACTTCCTTCTTCGTCGGATGGTCTTTACGAATAACAAAGGATTTTCGTTTTAAAATATTAGGTTTAAATCAAATGTAGATGTGGGTAGTTCCCCTCAACACACGCCCTCGCCCCTATTTGTCATTGTTGCTCATGGATAAGCACTTCCAAAGGATACCTTATCAACCAGGCTGTGACTCATACGTCAGGCTGCGAGCAGCCGCGTCCAACAGCCTGGTTGATCAGTCTAGCAACCAGGAGGCCTGGTCGACGACCGGGCCGCGGGGACGCTAAGCCCCGGAAGCACCTCAAGGTAACGATGGACCCTCACGTCTCTCGTCCCCGACGTAGAAAGTAATTTAACATTTCTCTTGCAGACAACCTGGGTGGTACGGTCGACGGACTCGCATGGAGCGGTACCTGATGTTGGCGGCGACGACCGTGGTGTTCGCCGTGGTGGCTCTCTCCATCTCCCTGGCTGCTGTGGTCTACGGCTACCGGAGAGGTCTCCTTCAGACTGATGGTATGGGCACCCACCTACACTACAGTGTTGTGTGTACCCGGCATCCTGTCACAACACCTAACACGAGGATCTTGATTCTAAGGTCGTGACAACGACCGCGTTATGGTTGATGGGTTGGTGTGACTGGATGAGATTAGTGAGGCTTGCGTGGGGAAGCGGGTTTAATATTTTCTAGCAGCAATGATGGTTGTAGACTCCAGGGGCTAGATTCACGAAGCAGTTACGCAAGCACTTACGAACCTGTACATCTTTTCTCAATCTTTGGCGGCTTTGTTTACAATTATTAAACAGTTAATGAGCTCCGAAGCACCAGAAGGCTGTTTATAACAATAACAACAGTTGATTGGCAAGTTTTCATTCTTGTAAACTGTTTAATAAATGTAACCAAAGCCGTCAAAGATTGAGGAAAGGTGTACACGTTCGTAAGTGCTTGCGTAACTGCTTTGTGAATCTGGGTCCAAAACAGGGATGAGCAGTTGGCTAGCCACCAGACCCGCTCTAAGTTCCTCTAGCTATTATTCCTGGTTTTCGTAAGGATCCTCATTATTGCGTAACGTAAACATTGACCTTAACTTGGATATATTGAGCGTCTTTGTTCTCTTAAAACGCCTTGTAGGTTACCTTCCTCAGCTGGTTAAAACCTTTGCCTTCAGGATTTGTGGTAGGCCTGTTTGTGAAGTGATTATCAACATATCTCTAATATCTCGACCCCCCTCCCCCCCCGTCTCCCTTTTTATATTCACTGGATAGCATTAGCTTCACTGTTTACTCCTATCGAGTAAGTTTAGTTCAACTGTTAAGAGTTGTTTACTGTTGAGAATAGGGGTTAAGGGAGCACTAAGGCAAACGTATAGGTAAGATGTTTTTAAAAGCCGACAGAGTGGTATGCTTTTTTTAAATTTTCCTGATGTTCCAAATCGCGTGTAGCTACATTGTGAGGCCAGTCACGATCGAGGACTACACAGTTCAATGTCTCCAAGTTCAGGATCATGATGGCTTGGCGAACACCAGTGGTGGTGGTTGTGTGGAGTGAGCTGCTCAATTCTGGAGGTAGCCTACGGCAGGCGGCTCAGCGTGCTGATCTTTATACAAGAATTGTTTAGTGTTGAAAGTGTCGTGGATGGTTATGCCTTGCTACTTGTGAACGCAAGTGTGTGTGTGTGTGTGTGTGTGTGTGTGTGTGTGTGTGTGTGTGTGTTATAAATTTATAGCTAGCTGTATATAAAGCTAATAACTAATTTGTTTATCCTAATGTACGAATACGTTCTCAAACAAATCATGCACTTGGCATATTTTTCATGCAAATTTGTACCGTAATATGTATATACTGTATTTAAACCATGTGTAACTGTACCCGAATTAATACCTGCTATATTCTGTCTTATTTAAATGTTTTCGTGACTTCTATAAAATACATACTCTTGGCTGCTTAAAATTTTATCTCTGGGACATTCTCGCTATATCTCTGATCGCCTGCATGATGTAGTGGTGCTACTGCCCTTCTTCTTCTGCCTCCACCTTCATTTAATACAAAATTACGTGCTGGTCTATACCAAAAGTTTGCTTACAGAAATGGCCTTGGTTTTACGCGGTTTAATTCCACAACTTTTCTAAATTTACTTGTTACCTTATGATTTAATCAAATGTAAACTAATGCAAATTTACTGTATAACTTGTAATGAAATTATACTATTTGTGTAATAGGCGAACCCTTGTTCCTGTCTAACCACCTTTTTCAAACTGTGGCTATTGTGGCTTGTTAATGCTTACTGTTTACTTCAGTGGCTTGTAGCCTAACACGGCCTCCTAGCCTTGGGCCAGATTCACGAAAGCACTTACGAACGTGTACATCTTTCCTCAACCTTTGACGGCTTTGTTTACATATATTAAACAGTTTACAAGCATGAAAACTTCCCATTCAACTGTTATTGTTATAAACAGCCTCCTGGTGCTTCGGAGCTCATTAATTGTTTAATAATTGGAAACAAAGCCACCAAAGATTGACAAAAGATATACAGGTTTGTAAGTGCTTGCGTAAGTCCTTTCGCGAATCTGGCTCCTTGCCGCCTAACTTCATGCTATCCGCTTTTCAACAGTGAGCTGAGGTGACCTCTCGACCCTCCCAGACACTCAACTATGATAACTATGACTCTAGCTTCGTCACCTGGTGATCAGTTTTATCCTAGACCTTATACCCTACTGGGACTTTTTGACCCTCTGGCTCTAACATGTGGTGTGTACAGACTACCAATTATGAAACGGTTTAAAAGACTAGGCTATAGTGGTCGTGTGGAATGTACAGTTAATACACGACTAGTTGGACCACACTTCGCTAACATTAATTTACAAGACTAACTGTATATAGACATTTGTACCATCGACTGGGGGAAAGGGGGGAGATGACAGTTCTCTAGACTGTCCGTGGTACGGACAGCTGGCGAGAACTTACATATGTCGCCACCTGGAGGAATTAATGTTAAGTTCGGAATATGTACATACAAACCCCCCCCCCCCCTCTAAATTTAGTTGTACACCAGCTTTTGAAGTATTAAAAAGTAAATAATTGCAACCTTTGGTGTTTAGTTCAAACGTAAAGTTGAAACTTTTGATGGAAGAACTGCTGTGTATTTGGTCTAGCCTCGTACACCATTGCGTGTATGAAGTAGTATTTTGTTGTAGTATACTAGTAGTAATTATACTACAAGATAAGGTGCATAGGACCATTTCATCCCCCCCCCCCCCCGGTCGACTTAACGACTCAGCCCGTCCTCCTAAGATTTCTCAGTCACGAAACTGCATCTTAATGCCCTTAGCCTCGCTTACCAGAGGCTCCAAAACAGAAAACGGGACCGTATGCAAAGAGTAACAACAGTAACGTGACTGCATCAATGAGAAATATCATAGGAGCCATGATGAGGATTCGAACCCATGCAGTGGGTGATCCTACCCATACACGGGATGTTTAGTGGCTACCATGTGTGCATGGCAACACCCCACCACATAAGTTCGAACCCTTATCACCGTTCTTATGGCTTTTCTCAACGGGACAGTTACGTCAGTTTAGCAAGCCGCTACCATATTCTAGTAGGGTAATTTTTGGCCTTGGGTATAGAGTATACATCAAAATGCGAAGCTCTATTAGGAGGACGGGTTGATGCGTCACCTGACGTGGTCAGTAATTGAGAAAGGTTTCAGAGTACTGTGTACGAATATGTACCATGCACTACAGTGGACGAGAGGTGATGACTTGAGGTAGACAGCAACTCAGTAGTGTGTGGATGACACGGACGGTGGAGGAGCCACCTGACTACCTGACATGTGATGCACACCCACACCTGGGACTTCCCGCCCACGTCCTTGACGACGCCCCCTCAGACCTTGGACGTCCCGCTCACGTCCTTGACGCCCCCCTCCAGGTCTGGGACGTTCCACCCACGTCCTAGACGGCCCCCCCCCCTCAGACCTGGGACGTCCCATCCAAGTCCTAGACGTCCCCAGACCTGGGACGTCCCTCCCACGTCCTAGCAAGCAGGACGTTACCCCGACCTCTGTAGGCAGATTCAATAGTTTTAGTACATGATGCCTTGTAGACTGGAGCATTCTGGACGGGGAAGTTCATTATTTTGAGAAGTGAAGCGCTTACAGCTGTCAGGGTAAGTGTTCCTTCTTGCTGAAAACCCCCTTCCCGTCCCGTCCTTTCCCATGTGGGGTACTGTCGGCAACTGGCCCTCCCGGAGCCAATGCCTGTGGCCATGCGAGGCAGAATTCAGGGCCACTGACAGGGCACCTGAATTTGACGCGCAGCCTAGCGACCGACTAGTGCGTGTGACTGACTTACGCTAACTTTTAGTTTCTTTATAGTCTTGGAGTAAATTGAAATGCACAGGACATATTATTTTCGTAACGAGTGGCGCTTTAAGCTTGTGTCTGGAGTTGCATATTTTTATCTACGATATTAGTTGGACGCGAAGATGTACTGTATAGCTTGACTGATTACTTAAAGTGTAAAGTTGCCATAATACACAAGGACGCGCGATGCAATGGCTTCGTCCAGGCAATTCATTACCCCCTAAAGCGCATCCGACGCTCCGTACCACTCTAAAAAATACAAAATATTCTCCCAAAAGACTTCATAAATACAAACTGAACAATGGAATAACGCCTATAGAAAAGTCGGTCGCTGTAATTGCCTCTGGCATGAAGACTTGAGTAATACCGACGGATGACGTTTGTCAGTCGCACGTTGGCAGAGGCATGTGTTGACCCCGTGCTGCTGCTGTTGCTGGTCCTCGTGTCCTCCTCTTGCTCCTCCTGCACGTGCTCTGTCATCGTCCGCTCCACCTAACAGCACGCATTCTCTCTTCTCTCTTCAACTTCCACCAGACGCCTCATTGCTGCCCGTTATCTCACCAGCGGCGCTCACTGGCTGTCAAAGGCCTTCCACGTATGCTGAGAGTCCCAACGATGTCTGCCTCACCCAGGGCTGCGTCAAGGCCGGTAAGTGTTGGCAGCATCACTCAGGGCTGCGTTGAGGTCGGTAAGTGTTGGCAGCATCACTGAAGGCTGCGTCACTGAGGGCTGCGTCAAGGCTGGTAAGTGTTGGCAGCATCACTGAAGGCTGCGTCACTGAGGGCTGCGTCAAGGCCGGTAAGTGTTGGCAGCATCACTGAGGGCTGCGTCAAGGCCGGTAAGTGTTGGCGGCATCACTGAGGGCTGCGTCAAGGCCGGTAAGTGCTGGCAGCATCACTGAGGGCTGCGTCAAGGCTGGTAAGTGTTGGCAGCATCACTGAGGGCTGCGTCAAGGCTGGTAAGTGCTGGCGGCATCACTGAGGGCTGCGTCAAGGCCGGTAAGTGCTGGCAGCATCACTGAGGGCTGCGTCAAGGCCGGTAAGTGCTGGCAGCATCACTGAGGGCTGCGTCAAGGCTGGTAAGTGTTGGCGGCATCATTAGCTAGTCTTGCCAAAGTCTCTGAAAAACCGGTTTGTTTAAAGTGCTGCTTTAAGTCTCAAACTACAGAAACTAGTTTCAAAAAGTGTTATGACCAATTTATAGTTCTTGTGGTTTAATGCCTTATCAGCACTTATTGTGAAACTTTCATATCCATTAAAGACTACCATATCCATTTCAGAATCTGATTAAGGTAAATTTGTCGAGATTTGTCTGAAAAAGGGGGGGGGGGAGGATTTTTATCGGGTACTACATTGACGTCAAAAGTGCGTCTAGATATTACCATCATTTAGTGCTAAATTTGAAATTGTCTAGAGCACACTAGGCTCCATGGATATTAAGACTAATTTGGGAAGATGTCTAAATAGGCTTTGAGCGTGCGTGGTGTAGCATGTCCTCTAATTGGACAATAATCTAAATTACTTGTACATTAACATTCATATAATAATAGTTAAAATATAGCAACTAATTGTAATTCAAGTATGTTTATAGAGACGAGAAAATAAATCTCAAAAGGGTTAAAGTAGCTTAGGCTGTTTCTTCCCCCCACTAATTGTAATCTAAATTTGCTAGCTGCCGGTCTGGTGAAGTCGATGGATCCAAGTGTGGATCCTTGCACAGACTTCTTCCAGTTCTCCTGTGGTAATTTCCTCAAGACGAAGATCATTCCCGACGAGAAGACTGCCATCTCCAGGTTCAATGAGATCTCTGACGACCTGCAGGAGAAGCTGCGAGGTCTTGTAGAGAGTAAAGAATCCGCAGACGATTCCCCCTCCACCAAGAAGGTTAAGGCTCTGTACAAGGCTTGCATGGATAAAGGTTAGTACATAAGAACATAAGAACAAAGGCAACTGCAGAAGGCCTATTGGCTCATGCGAGGCAGCTCCTATTTATAACCACCCAATCCCACTCATATACATGTCCAACCCACGCTTGAAACAATCGAGGGACCCCACCTCCACAATGTTACGCGGCAATTGGTTCCACAACTCAACAACCCTTGTTGTTACTCCGATAACATGTATGTTACCGGAGTAATTGATGTCATTGTTAAGGTACTACCATAGCGGATACCACTAGATTAATGAGGCAATTAAGAGATGGTAGAACTAGAGAATCGGTAAGTCGACAAATTTATTGTGCTAGGACTCAAAGATTGAAATTGAAATAAGTTTATTGAGGTAAAATCCACACAAAGGGATGAGGTAGCTCAAGCTATTCTCACCCCGTTCAGTACATCGTGTTAATACATACATAGACACACATCACAAACAATACACATATTACCAAACATTGAGAGATAAATATATACATTTCCTAGGACTCACAGATGGTTGTTTGAAACTTGTCCTCTACGTTAAAACAAACATTACTTAAGACTTGCTATCCGTAAGTGGCGTCGTAGCCTATGTATCGAACACTTGACAATAATAATACCATACATTTAATTTCTCTTCTTAAATTTCGCTCTTCAGGAAGAGTGTGTAGGCCTGGCTATATACCCATACATAGTTTGCATAATCCATCTCCTAATTTACACACTAACAATAATTAATCTGCAGAAGGCCTAGTGGCCCATGCGAGGCATCGTCTGTCATCCAGCCAAACACACTTGTATGTCCCTCTTGCTTGGAACACCCACCACCTCACTATTACCTAGTTACCTAATTATTACCTATGTTGTTAGAATGTTGCACCATCCTCAGATTTACCAATTTTTTTAAAGGCCTATTGGATAATTTTCTTTTTATTGTTGACATTTTGTTTAATGCTCTACATATTTCTTGTTGCAGATCGCATCAAAGAGAGAGGCCTGAATCCCCTGAAAGATATCCTGAGGGAGATGGGAGGTTGGCCCGTCCTGGAAGGAGACTCTTGGAATGCCTCCAGCTTCCAGTGGTACACAAACATCTACATTAACCGCAGGCTCGGCTACTCCCTCGACTACATCTTTGATTTCTCGGTCACTACCAACATCAGGAACTCCTCTTGGAGGATCATAGATGTAAATGAACTTTATTTTGTCTCGTTATCAGGCTTCTTAAACCTTCATTTGGACCTGGAGATTAAGTGGTTTTAATGTTGCTTATCATTAAAATAGACGAAATTAGAATGACACTTCTTAAAGTAATATGTAATGTCCTTTTATATATTTAAAGGAACCCTTAGTGTTAAATCCGTTCCTGGGAAGTGGCATATGGCAAGATTAATTTTGACACGCCTCGGCGCTTGTGGTATTAATGTCGGGGATGAAAGTAGAGCAGAAATGTTGACTACACGAGGAAGCGATACAAGACGAATGGTCGTTGTGTGGGTGGCGAGCACTGTTCCTATATAATGCCTGACGTTCTCTCGTAAAGATGGATTTGAAGGGAAAAAATGAGGTTATAGGATAAAAACCCCGAAGGTGGGGTGGGGGCGTTACCTTTTCACTGTAACAAGAGTGGGGTTTGTAGGCATTTTCAACAAGGATGTTTGTCTATAACATTTCTGACATGGCTTTTGGACACCTCTCCCCTCCCCCCCCCTTCCCCCCCTCCCCCCCCTAAAAAAAAGAGGAAACACTTTTTAAATAATAAAACTAAAATAGTTACTTAATTTATATATTGCCCGTCATAAATTTATATTAAATGATTGAGCTGAACTTTCAGCTTGAAAGTGTTTCCTGCAACATTGAATGTTACCCCGAGAGCCACCGGCTTTCTCCAGACCTCAACGGTGCCGGAAGCCAGCGGCTTGTCAAAGATCCGTCGACCCCCCCCCCCCCTCCCACCAACCCACCAACCCACCCACCCCATTGTTCCTAGCCTAATCCTGCATAATAACGTCCGTCCATTTTCTGTTCTGATCAGATCGACCAGCCTCCCCTTGGTATGCCATCACGCAAGTACCTACTGAAGGGGTTTAACGACAGCGACGTGCAGGCCTATTACAACTATCAGGTCAGCATGGCTGAGCTGATGGGCGCCGACAGGGCCACGGCCCAGAAGGAATTGAAGGAATCTCTCGAGTTTGAAATTCAGATTGCCAATGTAAGTAGTTTTATTCCTAGACATGGCTTGAGAAGCTGCTATTGATTGCAGGAAGTTTTTTTTTTTTAATGAAATTGCTTTTAATGGTGGGTTTTTAGGTTTAATTTTTTATGCCAAAGTTTTAAACTACACTACTGCAGGCGATGAGTCACAATAACGTGGCTAAAGTAAATAGACTTGAAAATGGTCCAGGACGGACCGAAACGTCGTCGTCCCTTCACCTTCTAGTGTGTGGTCTGGTCAACAAACTACACTACTGTTTTATCCTAATTTTGTATAACCCTATTTATATCCTAACCTCCCTTGCTGTATTTATATCCTAACCTCCCTTACTGTATTTATATCCTAACCTCCCTTACTGTATTTATATCCTAACCTCCCTTATTGTATTTATATCCTAACCTCCCTTATTGTATTTATATCCTAACCTCCCTTAATGTATTTATATCCTAACCTCCCTTACTGTATTTATATCCTAACCTCCCTTATTGTATTTATATCCTAACCTCCCTTATTGTATTTATATCCTAACCTCCCTTAATGTATTTATATCCTAACCTCCCTTACTGTATTTATATCCTAACCTCCCTTATTGTATTTATATCCTAACCTCCCTTATTGTATTTATATCCTAACCTCCCTTAATGTATTTATATCCTAACCTCCCTTACTGTATTTATATCCTAACCTCCCTTATTGTATTTATATCCTAACCTCCCTTATTGTATTTATATCCTAACCTCCCTTGCTGTATTTATATCCTAACCTCCCTTAATGTATTTATATCCTAACCTCCCTTACTGTAATGCAGTCTTCAATGTATCTGCACATATTAAATACATCTTGCACTGTATTAGTCTTCGACGGTGTCTTTTCTGGTGGGACTAATTGAGTGGTTGTTGTTGCAGTTCTCTCTGCCCAAAGAGGAGCGACGCAACGCCTCCAAGCTCTACAACAAGATGAGCATCGCCGAGCTGCAGAAGATGGTGCCAGAGGTCCCCTGGCTGGAGTATATCAACACTGTTCTGGATCCCTTCTTCACTGTGAGTTCCTTCCCCCCCACTTGTACCTCTCGGGGTCTTGCACCACCTCTATGACGCCTTCTACAGGATATACCTTTTTTTTTTAATATAAACTGCGGGTTCCTAGAGTATGTCTGCTGTACCCACAGGAACTATGTAAAGTAACCCAGTTATATTGAATGTTGTTGTTTTTAGATTTAGCTGCTCAGAACGAAGTGTCCATGTAGCACGGGCTATGGTGAGCCCGTAATATATTGAGATATGTAGGTACTCTTACATAGGCTGAGAGCTCCACGGTATATGGATATCTTTTTGGGGGGTGAAAAGGGGATTCGAGGGGGGGGGGTGAAGGATTCAGTCATGATAATGGATGTTAATCAGTGTCATATACACCGCCACTTCGCCAGTGTCGCTACAACAGTTGTGTAGGTGTATAACACGTCAGGGGACATCTTGTTAAATCACGGGTTATTCATACCCGTGCCACCTCTTGGGTGGCGTAATCTTCATCAATCTTGTTAAACCGTAGATGTTGAACTACATTAAGAGCAGGTTTAGTATGACTTAAGATACCTTGTGGATACATAGTGATCATAAAGTTTCATTGCACCCTGTTTACCATTAATTTCTATAAAGCTAATAATGGGATTACTTTGTCAAGGTTACGGAGGAGGAGCCCGTTATAGTGAACGTGCCGACCTTCGTAAAGAAACTGGGGCAGCTGCTGACCAAGACGCCCAAAAGGTACGTTGCTCCTCACTACTCCTTGAGGAGCTGGCAGTGTTCACAACCGTTGTTGTTTAAGATTCGCTACTCAGAACGATAAGTTCCAGTAGCACGGGCTATGGTGAGCCCGTAAGTGGAGGCTCTTTGGAGCCATTATGTTATCAGTGAGCTGATGGGGTTAGGGTTCACAACCGTTAATCTTGACATCATAACTAGTAGCACTTTAAGATTGCACACTCACTTACAGTTCTAAACGTATTAATACTAAAAATAAAAAGCTGTGAAACCCTAAATTAAAAGGTTTTTAATTAGAAGATCCTCTTGGATTGTAGTGGTGACTTCCAGAGTGGTGTTAAGGGTTCCAAAATTTTGCGTTAAGGTAGTACATCAAAGTGGCCACCACTTTGCAACCAGGAGGCCTGGTCGACGACCGGGCCGCGGGACACTAAACCCCAGAAGCATCTCAAGGTAAGGTAACCTCAAGGTAACCACTGCTATGTGTTTTAAGTTATCCCAAGTAGCAAGACTATACTGATAAGACTGTACTGATCGCAAGAGATATTTCTTTAAATTGTATTTATGCTTAAGCTTTAGTATTAAAAGGATGAGACGTGATTTACCAGCAGTAATGATCTTTAAGTGATGACAACTGACTCTTGCAGAGTGATCGCCAACTACATGATCTGGCGCGTGACTGCAGCCTCCGTGGGTTACCTCTCCGAAGACGCCCGAGACATCCAGTTGGAGTACTCGAGGAAGCTGGTGGGCAAGGGTACCAGGGAGCCTCGCTGGAAGGAGTGCATGAGCTCCGTGTCTGGCAGGTGAGGAGATTGATTGATTGATAAAGATCAAGTCACCCAAGAGGTGGGCACGGGCATGAATAGCCCGTAAGTGGAGGCTCTTTGGAGCCAGTACCTTAGGTGGGGAGAGGCAAGCATCCACTGAATTTTCCGTATCCACACACTGTAATGGGTGGCCTGTGGGGCCTATAGCACACAGGCCTATGTAAATAAGCTTTGAAATAGGCTTGACATTTATATATATATATATATATATATATATATATATATATATATATATATATATATATATATATATATATATATATATATATATATATATATATATATATATATATATATATATATATATATATATATATATATATATATTAATGCTTCGTATGGATTTAATCTCAAATATAACTAAAATATATTCCAAACACTTTTTTTATTCTGTGCATCAAGCAAGTTAATTATAAGTGCTACTCGTAGGTTGTTCGCCGTGTATCTTGCAGGAAAGTTTTCAAGTGCTTAAAGAGCAGACTAAATCGCACAATAACTAGTCTAGTTTTTTTAAAGGTGTAGTTGTAGTGTAGCACATGTATTATTACATGTAGCATGAAAACCCATGTATTACACGTTTTCTCCTTGAGGAGAAAACCCATGTATTACACGTTTTCTCCTTGAGGAGAAAACCCATGTATTACACGTTTTCTCCTTGAGGAGAAAACCCATGTATTACACGTTTTCTCCTTGAGGAGAAAACCCATGTATTACACGTTTTCTCCTTGAGGAGAAAACCCATGTATTACACGTTTTCTCCTTGAGGAGAAAACCCATGTATTACACGTTTTCTCCTTGAGGAGAAAACCCATGTATTACACGTTTTCTCCTTGAGGAGAAAACCCATGTATTACACGTTTTCTCCTTGAGGAGAAAACCCATGTATTACATGTTTTCTCCTTGAGGAGAAAACCCATGTATTACATGTTTTCTCCTTGAGGAGAAAACCCATGTATTACACGTTTTATCCTTGAGGAGAAAACCCATGTATTACACGTTTTCTCCTTGCAATTCCGTAATCGTTATAGCTCCTACATCCTCAACCCGTGACTTTTTTTCAGTCTGGCTCACGCCGTGGGCTCTATGTATGCTCGGGCCTTCTTCAAAGAGGACGCCAAGGCGGCCGCTGACGAGATGGTGAGGTACATCCGTGCAGAGTTTGCCAATATTCTCCATAACATCGACTGGATGGACAAGGCGACCCGCCACCGGGCTATGGAGAAGGCGAAGGCCATCACCCCACACATAGCCTATCCGCCAGAGCTGTTGCTCGACGAGAAACTCACCGAGCTCTATGATGGGGTAGGTCTCCTGGATGTTGAGTGAGCAAATGGCAGAATTGGTTTGAAACTTGTCTAGTCTTCGCTTCAATAAGTTAACTTATCACAAGTTAGTAGAATAGGCACTTTATACATTAGAGGATTGTTCAGTAAAACGGTCCATATTACACCAGCTGGAGTATAAAATGCTCCTGGCGTATGTAGAGCTAGAAAAGAGGCTTTAATATTTAGCGTCTTCAAAAGTCCAACCAAATGTGTATGTAATACCTTGCCTCCTGAAGCTGTAGTGAACAAGTGCAGTACAGCCACGAGTGTATCATTTCTATACTTAAAATGGGTTCCGTTTCACTTTATTTTTCTAGCTGGAAATCTCTGGCGGTGACCTACTGGAAAGCATGCGCAACTTGACCGTCTTCGGGACGAACTACTCCTTCAAGCGACTGAGAGAAAAGATTGACAAGAAGGACTGGAGAAACCACGGCGCTGCCGCTGTTGTCAATGCCTTCTATAGTCCTTTAGAAAACTCCATACGTAAGTATATATTATCTGCTGGTGACCTTTAGGGAGCCGGTCGGCCGAGCGGACAGCACACTGGACTTGTGATCCTGTTGTCCTGGGTTCGATCCCAGGCGCCGGCGAGAAACAATGGGCAGCGTTTCTTTCACCCTATGCCCCTGTTACCTAGCAGTAAAATAGGTACTTGGGTGTTAGTCAGCTGTCACGGGCTGCTTCCTGGGGGGTGGAGGCCTGGTCGAGGACCGGGCCGCGGGGACACTAAAAGCCCCGAAATCATCTCAAGATAACCTCAAGATGACCTGTGAAATCTTACCCGCCCCGCGCTACCACTCATTGTATGTCCTGCTTGAGTTCATATACCCAAATTCTCTAGTGGGACTTTGTCTTCATACCCAAGAGATTAATTGGTTGGTTTTAACAAATTATCCCTCTTGACTAGCAACTTCCCCTCCCTATCCTCCCCAGTGCACGACTCCCACACACACACGCTGGGGGAGGCTAAGAAAGTTCTGGGGAATCTTGGTGAATGTGTAGTATGGCGCCAAAGCTTTGATACCGTCTCCTGTGTCTGACAACTCTCATTTTATTATATATATATACAAAAAGTTAGGTTTTCAAACATTTATATAGCAAGGTGAATCAAACTGGTGGAAAAGAGTACTGTTTTTGTGCAGGCGATGAGTCTCAATAACGTGGCTGAAGTATGTTGACCAGACCACACACTAGAAGTTGAAGGGACGACGACGTTTCGGTCCGTCCTGGACCATTCTCCTATACCCTGGAGAATGGTCCAGGACGGACCGAAACGTCGTCGTCCCTTCAACTTCTAGTGTGTGGTCTGGTCATAGTACTGTTCTTAATGGCAATTTTAATGATTGGAAATAACTGGCAGAAAGTCTTTAGAAAGACACACTACCTAGAGCTTGAAAGTAAAATATTTAATCTCTTATTTTCTCTCTTCCCGTTGTAAAGTTTTGTTACCTGCCCACAGAGTTTCCTGCTGGCATCCTCCAGGGAACATTCTTTGAAGCGGACAGACCCAAATACATGAACTTTGGTGCAATTGGCTACGTCATTGGTCATGAAATTACTCATGGCTTTGATGACACGGTGAGAAAACTATTGTGACCTGGATAGTTAGGCTAACAACCATATTTATTATTACTTTTAAGTTTTAGTGACAAGAGATTCGCTCTTGACAATGTTTAGAATCTATGAATGTGCAAAATTCTTTAGTGTGGGGTAGGATACCCAAATCATTTACAGGTAAATTGCTGTAAGGTTTAAATTTGTTGAATTTAAATTTTAACCTAGATAATTTTGGTAAGTTATATAATGGACTACACCCAAATGTCCCGTTTTAAGGCTCTTTAACTTTCCTATGCGTCGCCCCCCTGTAGCCATTTTACCTTTACCTTTTAAAGTGATTTATAATAAATATCTACTTGTAAAATAGGACTTGTCTCCCAAAGCAATCCCGTGTTAGTGTTTTAACATTATTCATGTTTGATGTTGTGTTGACAGGGACGTCAGTTTGACGCTACTGGCGACCTGCGCGACTGGTGGGAGAAAGAGACTAAAGACAAGTTCCTGGAGAAGGCCAAGTGCATCATCTACCAGTATGGCAACTACTCCGTTCGTGAACTTGACATGAATGTAAGTTGATGTGCAAATCTAGTTACCAGGGGCCAGATTCACGAAGCAGTTAAGCAAGCACTTACGAACCTGTACATATTTTTTCAATCTTTGGCGGCTTTGTTTACAATTATTAAACAGTTAATGAGCTCCGAAGCACCAGAAGGCTGTTTATAACAATAACAGTTGATTGGCAAGTTTTCATGCTTGTAAACTGTTTGATGGTTTTGGTTACATTTATTAAAGATCGAGGAAAGATGTACACGTTCGTAAGTGCTTGCGTAACTACTTCGTGAATCTGGCCCCAGTTTTGTTTTCCTCCGCTTTACACTATTGTTGAATAGATTATATTGCATTTATAGATTTTTTTTTCTTGCTGCCACTTTAAGTTAGAACTGGCGAGGTGTTATAATGTTCACAAATATTATAACGTACAAAAAATGGCAGATATTTTTTTTTTCAGTTCTTGACGCTTTTAACTGCCAACATATTTTAGATTATATCACCTTAGTTACACTACCATTTCCCAACATTTTGGGGAATCTTACAGCTTAAAATATATAAAGATTTCTATAAGCTTACTAGAGATTCATCCTTGTTTGCCATCCAAGTGGTTTTGGAACGTTAACTTTTTGTTCCTTTTGTGGAGGTTTGGCCACGAGGCCACCATCCCAGAGTTGTGGGGATTGTTAGTCTATTTTCCAAAGATTTGGTAAACAAAGAATTGTGAAATTTAAAATTATCAAAAGCAACTTATTGTATTTTTTTGAGGGACTTAAAAGCTCCCTTTATTAAACTTCCTAAAGTACAGAAACTATAGTGACTATCTCCCGTGTGCCTAAAGTTGTGCAACATTTGAAATTTGTTGTTTTTCTTGCAGCTGAATGGTATAAATACCCAAGGTGAGAACATTGCTGATAACGGAGGCATTAAGGAGGCATACTTGGCTTACAACCAGTGGGCTAAGGACAATGGCGAAGAGAAGACGTTACCCTCGCTACCTTACTCCACCAGACAGCTGTTCTGGCTGTCGGCCGCCAACGTGTGGTGTGGCAAGTACCGGCCAGAGACCCTCAAGCTGCGGATCTTGACCGGCGCTCACTCCCCGTCACAGTTCAGAGTCAATGGTCCCTTCAGCAATCAACCGGAATTTGCACGGGATTGGCACTGTCCCATTGGTTCTACCTTGAACCCCACCAAGAGGTGTTCTGTGTGGTAACGCGTTCTCCGCGGGTTCTGTTCGAATCTGTAGTTTGAAAAAAAAAAATTGTGCTAAAAACCTCTTTCCCCCAGACATGTTTGGTGCTTCAGGGACGATGGCTGGGCACCTCTCCACCGCGTCCCTGCACATCCTCAGTCGGCTAACATGTGTAGTGTGTCGGGAGCGTCCACAGCCGCCAGTGTTCACCGCATTATGACTACTGTAATGGTGACTAATTCTGTGAAGCATAGAATCACAAGCTACGTATCTTTTTATTTAAGACGGTGGTGAGGCGCCGGATCATCTGTCTTTGAGTGTGTGAGTTCTCTCTCCCCGGCTGGGCCGTGGGATGTAAACCTCAATTTTACTAGACTTACCGTTAAGAGATATATATTTTTACAATAGTACACCCCCCCCGCCTCCACACACAAGGTTTTAAGTAGTCTTAAGCTCATAATGGAGTAATTTATAGTGAGTGTTTAACTTTGGGAACAAATCATTTGACGTTACTGAATTGATAACGATAGGTTCCTCGGCCATCCAGGCAGCCACATCCAGGCAGCCATCCAGGCCTGGTAAAAACATCACCAAACATCCGTGTGGTCCTTTGGCCACGGTTTTCCCTCCACTTAAATGTTATCATGCATTTTTAACACCAATTCCTCTACGCGTATTGAGACTGGAAGATGCATCCTTGGTACTTAAACTTTATTTTTAATTCTTGATCGACTATTGTTTATCCTTTTTAAATCTGCCCGTAGTATAGTGGGCAGCTCTGGGTGAGTGGATAAGTGAGTGTGTAATTGTTTTTACAAAAGTTCCAACACGTCCAGATAGATACCAATATATCTTGCAAGGTTTTTATTTTGGTTAAAAATGGAAGCAAATGTTGTTTGTGTGAACTCTGGCAAATTTTGTGCTGCGAGGAAATCTATTTATTCCATATAATATAGCATTTATTTTAAGCAGTTTAGTCTTGCATATTTGTAGCGAGGGGCTGGGAACGAGTCGGCATCTATCACAGGACTTTTACAAAGAGATCCTCGCTTGTATTAATTTTATAAGGTGTGGATGCAGGTGTGTGGAAAGTTTGTTATATAGGTTGTTGTAAGATTAGCGGTTCTGTTCATTCAAAGTGAAGATGTGATCCAGTCAGTTACGATAGACTTTCTCTACCCAGGTATACATCACGTGGCATAATTATCCTTGCTACCTCGGTCTCAACAGAGTCATGTCCCGCCCTTATTAAAACTGTGGGTTTCATTTTAATATTTATACCACTGGGGATCTGTGCGCTTCGGTCCTTGTTTTAATTATTTGCAGTGAAGTTAATGCGGTAACTAAAAAGAATGTTGATAACATTCTGAAGGTTGTAAAGTAACTCCTCTTCTACTGGATCAGAAGATTGTGTTAAGTTCATTTTGCTTAAAACATTTTAAGAATGTTTAATACCTGTGCCTGGTTTTATTTTTTTTTGTCTGCACCACACAACACTTTCCCTTCCTCCATGCCGGATATATATTTATAATCCATATTTTAATAAATCAAATTACTATTTTTGGAATGCTCTTTAATAAAAAAAAAATTACATAACTTCATTAGTGATGTAAAAGTTATTGTACAGTGTATTGTGATTAATAAATTTTATGTGTATATAATTGTTATATTTTTAATGTTCCCAAATATTTTATGATGAGACGAGTGACTCTTAATGTTGAGAACTGGAAAAAACTTTCCTTCCCTCGTAACAATTACATTAAAAGCAATTACACGTGTAATGAAACTAACTTAATTTGGTATTCAATGATTGTGTGTAATTGTACTAATTGCAAAAATATACACTTGCTACTTGTCTTTGCACTTTTATAATCTTGTTATATAATTTGCTAAATTGACAATAATTATGGTCAGGAATTAACATTCTGACCAGTGTTTCATCACGTCACGCGGTCCAGAGAACTTAATGGAGCGCCGCCTGCTCCGGTAACTTTCAGTACCTGTGGGCGACACCTGAGTGGTCAACACCCAACCTTGCCAGAGCCATTCCCAACCCCCGGTTACGGTGGTAGGAGGAACACGGACACTATTCTTGAGAGTACGCAATTTGTTCCCAGTAACAGACGACCAACGACGCTGCCAACTGGCAAGGATTGAGGAATAACTGCGTTGAAGTCGGAATAAGGAACACCTTAACGGGAGATGGGACAAGTGCGGATAGCCTCCTCAGCAGCAGCGTCCGCACACTCGTGTAAGAACACTAATATGACTGAGAACCCAGCAAAACTCCACTGTATAGGTTGCTCCACCTGCTAGAGATAGACAGGAAGGAGACCATAGGATTATCGAAACACAGTCAATGTCTCTGTAACAATTTAATTAACAATAATAAAAGCCGAAACTTAACATTGCATATCTAAAGGAATACACAGTTTAAGAAAAGCTAGCTAATGATATTAGCATAGAGGCAACAGCCTACACTGGCAAGTCTTTGATGCATTATATGACGATATCTTCCATAGTAGATAAAGAAAAGTAATTGCAGAACTCCAGTTACCTAATACCAGCATGGTATAAAAACTTATCATAAGCTGCAGCATTTGTAGATCGGTGTTTAAAAGGGAATTCGGAAGTAATAACAGCTTATGCCATCTGTCGGCAGAAAAGAACACTATCAACAGGCTTGATCACAAGTAGCCATAAGATACAGCTTATGCCATCTGTTGACATCAAATTACACTATCAACAGCCATCCTTCAAAATAATGCTAACGCCATCTGTTGCCTCTCCCATGCACTATCAATAGCCAAACAGCAACCCATAACGCGGGTTGTTGTGCTGAAGTAAGAATTCCTGCGCTTGTTTATCATTGGTAGATATTCTTTGTTGACATTCTCCACAGCAGCCAATCACAAGAAGGGACAAGGGTCCACCCACTTAAGCATGGCTGGTGTGCTGAACAATGATTTATTATGACATTCGGCTTCAACTTTAACCTACTTAAAAGTGAAGTGGTAATTATTTAAGTGATAATTAAATATTGCAGGATATAATAACAGCTGTTCGAAAAACTGGCCTGGCTACCTAACGTGTGACGTCTTTAGTGGAGGGGGGGGGGTTGCCTCAAAACGATTAACATCTATGATACGATGCTCAGCCCTCATATTGGATTAAATTATTCAGATGGAAAATTTATGCACAAAACAAAAAGGTTAACAAATCTTTTGCTAGGCCAAGGAACTGCTAGATCTTACTATTGGAAGGTAGATTCACCCGATCTATTAAAATGAGGGATAACACTAGGTTAACGCTTGGCATTCAGCATTTCACATAATGCAGATTTAACACTGTTGCACCTGTAGCAACTAGATCAACATTCGCACACTGCACAAGTCTTCAAGTGTGTTTTCTTAATCAACCAGAGAGTGGCAGAGAATTCCTTCACACCGAGAAACTCGCCTCTGTATACACACAGTTTAGCCCTAGGCTGTTCTTTTTTCTTGACAAATAAACTTGCTGGAGTTAGAAGTTATTGACCCTCTAGAGGTTATAAAGCTTTAAACCAAACCAAGAAGCATCAGTATTCCCACAGACCAGCCAGGAGTAACAGCTCTACTAGCAGGCAACTGCAGCCAGCCTCCACTCAGCCGTTTGGCAGATGAACTTCCACCGGCTACATCATACTGACGGCAGAGTTCCGGAGTACAAAATGTGCCCCAGTTTGTCAACCCAACTACTTTAGGTGGACTAGAGCGACGGTCTCGCCTTATGCAGGTCTGTGTTCAATTTCCGACCGTCCAAGTGGTTGAGTACCATTTCTCCTCCCCCCCCCCCCCGTCACATCCCAAATCCTTATCCTGACCCCTTCCAAGGGGATACAAGACACTCCGTACATTGACAACATCGCACACTAATATTTTTACCACTTCGGACACCAGCTTTCGATGTTTCGCATATGTGTACGTGTTCCACATTAAAACGACAATATAATGCTATTAACAATTAAAATCTTCTATTTAACAGGCATATAGTTATTAAATGAAGTTTAGTGATGTAATAGACATAATCCGGAGTTGGTAAGGACGCCGCCCGCCAGCGTAAACACAACACACCCGAATGCCCACAAACACGATACAACGCACAACACTTGTCAGTTTTTAGATAAACTACTTTTATATTTATTATGCGAGAGTTATACTTGTATAAAATGATAACCATTATAGGTAAGCGCCTAATATTTAATATTAATCAATAAAAAAGAAGTCAGAAGCCACACGCCTGTTTGTACATGTCGTGTAAAAGTATTTTGGGCGCTCTATGTACTTGTGCGCTAGCTGGCGTTCACAACTGTTCTCGCCTACAAGCATTAGAATTAAACAAACGAATTTATTTTTTCATTTATATATAAGAAGAGAAGGCTACCCTTGAGTCTAATATTTATCTGATCACTGGTCTCCCATTTGGTCCTCATTGCTTTATCTTACTATTATTGAATGTCAATAACCGTATTATGCAATTTCAATTTCTTCTATTTCTTTTATTATGCACCCCATACCCATCCCGTGGGCGGTGGTGTAAAGGATTTCAGAGGCACATAATCGGTTCAGGAACTGAACCCTCTAGTTCGTTTAGCTAAGCAAATAATGTTTGACGCTAGTTACAAATTATGTTGTATACACATGTACACACACATTATATATATAATTATACCAGTATGATCTAATATATACTGGTCTAATAAAATAATTAAACCAGTTAATACTCTCACTCGTTGTGTTAGGATATGTTAGCTTGATAAAACTGACTTCATTGTTGAGAAATGTGTTAAACAATATATCTGACTTATCAAGACTGTAGCTTGCTTAGCAAAAGGAACTTTTTTTAAATTTGGGTTCAGTTTAACTACCGCTCAAGGGATGAGTAATTGGGGCATAATAAAGGAACTGTAGCGAGTAGATTATCCCAATAATATACTCGCTCCAAATGCATTGTTAATATTCCTGTCAACCTTTGGAGATGAATGAGGTGAGGTGTTGCCCGAGCATATAAGCAGCAGAATAGCAAACATTAACCAGAGTCTACTTTCAAGTGTGGTCTAGAGCAGATACTTGCGAGATACTGTACCGCATGTCACCATTAGAGTCGCCAGATATATTAGTGAGAATTATACGTAATACAGTCTACTTTAACAAACGGCTTGCCATTTAAAAAAAAAACTTTAAAGTTACTATTTAAAATAGACAAATGTCAATTCCTCCCCAGAGGTGGGTTATGTTCCAGGAAGAAAAAAGACGGACAAGAGGAAAAGCCACCCAAGTGTGTGGCGTAGTTCAGGTGCCTGCGGACCTTGCAGCCAAGATGAGGTATTATGCAAGTTATGACGACTTTCTTACTATCTAGACTTTGTATAATATCGTTGCCGGGGGATACAAAATAGAAGTTCAAATCTTTAGTCAATTTAATTATTTTATAGACTAAATAGCGTTACACTGCGTGTTTACAGGTGTTGTAGTGGAGACAAGCGTCGGGGCAGCAGCGCTGGTTGTGGCCACACTCACTGTCGTGGAAACACCGGTGTTCCTGCGGCGGCTACGGGGGTAGAAGACAATTTGTTTACAAATGCCTTAAAGAATAATAAAGTGAAGCATTTTACCGAAAAAGTCCAGAAGAGTAAAGAAATCTTACCTGTCCGTGAGGACGTCTACAGGCGATTATATTGGGTGGGCAGCGACCATGGTGACCTGAGGATAAGTTTTATTAATCAAAATTATCAACACTAGATATTTAAACCAAATTAAAGCCAGGAATTCTACATACTGTCGTCCCGGTGGGTGTGTTCTTCCGGGGCGCCGACCACCAGGACCACCACACTCACCAACACCAGCAGGCGCAACTTGAGGAGTGAGAACCACGCGTTAACTACACGCAATAGAAACTTTGTATCAAGAAACATAAAAAAAAAAACATCATTAACACGATAACCAAAACAGTACAAACCATGATTAAGCAAAAAAAGTTATACTGGGAATGAACAAGCAAGTTCCGTAGGTGCTGGTGGGAATGGCGATTGAGTCAGCTGCAACCCCTTATATACCTGGAGACTTCCCCCCCACCCCAACGCCCTCCCCCCCTCCTCGAACACTAAGGTGAAGGGAGGTTGTTCGAATGTTAATTATGCCTTGACAACATCACTCACTTTAACTGGTTTAGTCAACCCGTCCTCGACTCAAGTCCATTACATCCAGCGGTCGACCCCACAGACGCATTCATAAATTTTAATATGCTGTTCATTCAAAACGGGAATTTTCTCAAGTATAAATTAATATTATAATATATTAGCATATTGTGTATGTATAGGCATAGGATAGTTTAGGTTCTGTTGGCGATTATTTGTATTTGTAGTACGTGGGTGAAGCATTTATAGCGTTGTGATTCGAACAAAATTCGTCAGTGAAGCACTTGTTCCGGATATGTTCGAACGTCAGCAGTTGTGAGTCGTGTGTAAACCGCTTTTCATTCATAAACAGGGGGTTTGGCGGGTGCATGGAATCACTTTTGGATCTTTGTTTGGAGGACGGGCTGGGTTTAGTTTAGTGTTTTGTCTTAATAATCTTCAAGTGTTATTAAGGCCTCCACAGTTGGTTCCTCAATAATCAAGACG